TTGAAGGATTCGGGTTTAGGGTTTAGGGTTTAGGGTCTAGGATTTAGGGCTTAGGGTTTAGGGTTTAGGGTCTAGGATTTAGGGCTTAGGGTTTAGGGTTTAGGGCTGAGGGTCTAGGATTTAGGGCTTAGGGTTTAGGGTTTAGGGTCAGACGGGTTGAAGGATAGCAGCCCAGATGATGGAGAATCCACTGGAAAAGAATTTGGAAAGTGATATGGACGCCACTGTACGTACCTAGACCCTTCACCTAATTACCTTCTCAATTACCAACTAGTAGGGCCAAATATCCCCAATTAAGGGTACTCAAAGGGTCTTGGTGTAGGCATTATATAGACGGATCGTCAGCCGAAGGGGAGCGAGTTGAAAGTTTATCTATCCGCTATCATGATGAACATGCACAGGGCATGAGTAGATCTGAGAGAAGCTTCAGTCTGCCTTGGCAGGTGTTTGCGGGATGATGGTGCCTTAACTGATCTAGCCACCATGAAGCACCGCGTACCATCTGTTGGCATACTGAGGCCCTTGCACAATTGCAGCAGCTCCGTGATCAGTTGAAACAAGAACCAGCGCAAATAGATCACACTGTGAATATTCTTGAACATGAGTTTTTCGCAGAGTAAGTCATTAAGGGCGTTCAGGGCAATAGTAGTAGCACGTAACAGACAGGAGCTTGCTTTGGCCGAAGCTTCAAACGTGCGATCTATGTGGACTCGTGAGCCCAGAAGAAAACCTGTTACAAGCGCCCGGAGCCTAGGCAATTTAAAGTGAGGGTTTGGGGTTTAGGGGGTCTCCTGGTCAGTGGCTAAATGGAAAAAAGTTAAGCTTGAGTTTTGCTAGCCAACTTTTTACCTAACGTTCCAAACCAGCCCCTGTATCCCTCCAGTAGTCCCGACGTATCCTGTGATCTTGACCACCACTTCTTTTCTGCGAACCTCAGATGATTCCCAGATATCCCTACCGGTAGATGATCCCCAGATGCTGCAGGGTTCCTGAGGATCTTCCCTGGCCGTCCAAAGTGACTTGAGCAACTTCAAGGGCTTCTGCGTGACGATGGGCTTCCAGGCCGTTTGGGATTTCGATGCTCGGCTGAGTTGGCGGCTTATCAACATGGGAGCCCAATTTATCCCAAAGGTCCAGGAGCTAGTGAACCCTTTGCAGCCCAAAC